CCCCCGCAGTACAGAACAGTGGTTTGCATGGAGGCTCATTCCTCTATTAGACAATATTTATCAAGTGTTATAATATGCCAGGCATTGAGTTGACGCTGGAGATACAGTGATAAAAAAGGCACTTCATTACTCTGCGTCTTTGGGCCAGTCACTGCTGCTCACAGAACCTGTTTCCTCATCTGTAAAATGGGGACGCTAGCTGGGGTTTTCCTTGTCTTTCACACCACTCACATGCAATCAACTGACAAGTTCTGTTGACTTCATTACCAAAATGTTCACTTCTCACCATCTCCCTTGCAAACACCCTTGTTCAAGCCATACTGGTTGCTCAATACCATTACGATATTCTCTAGGAGTAGGGAGTGGTTAGGAGTAGAGGGCCATGGTCTTGGGGGGAGACTCCAGACCCATTCCAAGGTAAAAACAAACAAACAAAAGAAAACTATGGGGATCTGATCTGCTCCTCAGACCCTCCCAACACTCTCCTGTCATTTCCTCTGCTCCACACCACCCACACCGGCCTCTGGCTGCTCTAAACACAGCAAGGTCAAGGTCACACCGAGCTTAGGGCCTCTGTGCCAGCTGGTCCCTCTGCCTGGAGGTTGTTCTGTATTCACTCACTTGCTTTTATTTCCTTCATAGCTTTTCTATGTTGCCACAGTCTCATTTATTAAGTGTTTGCTTGTTAATCATCTCTCTTACCCCACTAGAGTGTAAACAGCAGCAGAACTGAGATCATGCCTGCATTTTTTCTCTCTGCTGTATAACAGTGCTTAGCGCTATAAATATTTGATGAAATGAATGAACGAATGAATGGATGAACGTTGAGTGAATTGTTCTGAGCACGTGCTGTGTGCCAGGCTCCATGGTGGTGCTTTGGACATGGAGGTTTTCTGCCCGCCGGCATCTCTGTGGGGGAGATGGAGGCGTCGTATGAAAGATCTAGAAAGGGCAGGAGGGACGATTGTAGAGATCTTGCTCCTGTCTCTGTGTGTGTTTGTGGGAGGGTTGGAATCACCCCTCTCGGGCTTGTCTTTCCCCTGCAGAGAAAGCTTACTTCTGCCAGGACCGCTTCTATTGGCGTGTGAGTTCTCGGAACGAGGTGAACCAGGTGGACCAAGTGGGCTACGTGACCTTTGACCTCCTGCAGTGCCCCGAGGATTAGGGCTTCCCATCCTGCTTCAGCACTGCAGAGTGGGTCCTCTGGGGACCATCCCAATGGGGAAGGAGCCAGTTTGCCGGATACAAACTGGTGGGTCTGTTCTGGAGGACAAGGAGGAGGCGAGGTGGGCTGGGCCCCTCTCTTCCCACCCTCCTCTTTTGTGGGAATATTTTTAATAAACTTGAATTCTTTAACCTTGAGGAGCAGATTTCTTTACGTATGTATGCGTGCATGTGTGTATGTAACGGATAGGGCGCCTCCTGTGTGCCAGGTAGTGTTCTAAGCACTTCATAAATATTAACATTCATCCTTCCTATTAGGAAGATATAATGTGATTACTCCTATTTTACAGCTGGGGAAATGGCCAACCTATTATTCATTCATCAAACATTTATTGAGCCCCTGCATGGAGCCAGGCTGTGTGCCGGGCCCTGGGAAAGGAGAGATGAGTTGGACTATGTTTCTCTCCTCAAGGACCTCTCAGGGTCCTCCAGCTGTAGGTCCATGAGTGCCCTCAGGACTTGCTTAAAATGCAGACTCCAGGCTCTGTCCCCAGAGAGTCCCACTCAGTTACCAGGATGATTCTTTGCCGGGTGGGGGTGGGATCACCCTTGGAGAGTGTGCAATGTGTGGTCCTTTATTCCAGAATAATGGTGCATCTCTGTGATTCTGTATGTTGTGGTTGAAGGCGGGGAACGTTCCTCAGCCAAGGTGACGTCTGAACTTGAGTTGAATCTGGAAACATGAGCAAGAGTTTCTTCCCGTGCAGGTAGAACTGTCTTCTTACAGGGTAATCTACCACAAACCGTTACCCCTAAAAATGGACCTACTCTAACTCTCACACACGTGTGCACAAAACGGCAGATAGAAGGACATTGATTGCAGCATGGTCCCAGTAGTGAGAACCTGGCAAAACCTCAGTGTGCCAAGGTCAGGCGGGGGATAAGTGAAATATGGATCACAGACATGATGGTGGTATTCACCCCGGGCACACTGACTCTGCCAGACAAGGTTCCATGTGCTTGATGTGTGTTGACACAGCTAATCCTTAAAACAACCCTAGCAGACAGGTACTACCCTTACCTTATAGGTATTATTGCCCTCCCCCCTCCCCCCGTTGTACAAATGAAGAAACTGAGGCACACAGAATTACACAACCCACCTGAAGTCCCAGAGCCAGTGAGCGGCCACAGTGGGATTTGACTGTAGGCTCTCGGGGCAAATGCTGGGAGAGGAGAAAAAGTGGGGGGGGGGCGTTTGGGGGAAGTACAAATGGCTCAGAACTCTTGTGTGTGGTTTTAGGGGGTAGATGAGAGGGGAGCAGAGAGGATTCTGGA